ACCCCCCATAGCCAAATCAGAGCAAAAGGGACGGCGATTGTGCTAAAAACCATGGGCGAAGCTCGGCGCCGCTGTTGCTGTGTGCAAAACTCGCAACTCCTCTAATGAGCCCCTTCCAATTTCCCATTTCATGCAATTTTTCTACTATTGTGTTCACCGTTCTATTTTTCACAGATTGACTGAAGAAAAACTCCCAGCCGCAAAGGTGAGCCGGCGGAGCCATCGCACTCGAAAAATCCAACCACTGGTAGGTTTTCAATTTTTTTTTATTTTTTTGTCAATCGAGGCCCCCTAATGTGGTTTTTTTTTTTGCATGGATATGTATAAAGTCGGCTGAAATCAGCCAAAACCGGCCAAAAACAGCCAGGTTGAGGCAAACCGCCGACGCGGGCAGTGGTGTCATCGCCGAAGTACGACAGTGCCATCGTACTGGAACTCCAATATTTTTTACCCTGATTTTGGATTCCTATGGTATTTTTATATACGTGACAAGTATTTTGGATTTCGTAGGAATAATTCAAGAAATTCGATGATCGCCAGTAGGTGCAGTAAAAAGTTTAGTATTTCAGACACTAATTTAGGTAAGGATTTCTCACTATTTTCTTCGTTACGGTAAATTGAAGCTTAATAATTAATAATTGTGTGTTTTTATGAAAATTTAGAGAACCCTAAAAGTAATTACATGTCACTAGTGGAGCCGGAACTGTTAGTTCACAGTCATTTTGAAATTCTGTTTATTTTCTTATATTACTTATATTTGTTTACTATTATATTGTGTATAACTCAATTGATGGTTTTTAGGGTCTTTTTGATTATTTTGTTATTTATATCTCCTGCATTGCGTGCCAGTATCCCGATCATTGGTTATTTGGCTGTGTTAAGTTATATTATTGTTTAAATAAACGGTGAGTATAAAATGAGATATAGTTATTGTATAGTTGATTGTTATGCTAATGGAAATATATATAGGAAAGACTTACAAGGTACCCGGAAGATGGCAGACGAGTCCGGTACATAGGAACCCTACTGTGAACGTTACCTCAGTCAAACAGTGCTGAAAAGTCCCTTACCATTAAAGTTTGGAAGATATGGTTCACTTTCATACCGGACGGAGTATCGAGGTGGTGGAATATTTAGCGCCCATTTTCGAACGGGATATGGGGATGGCCGGTTAATTGTTTAATTGGATATTGGGTTCACGAGTACGAGAACATCCCTATAGACTCCCAGGGGTACTGGTAAGTGGGTAAAAATATAAAATAATAATTTTCTGTCATCTTATAAGTAATAAATAATAGGGCATGAATATGAGTTTTCATATGTTATTGTTGGGAAAGACTTGTTATACAATATGGAATAAATGGTTTTCTTTATAGTAAATGAATTTACATGAAATTAAGGGTTCAATTGGTTGTTTTTTTTTTATTTTTACCAATCTTCAATTTTTTGTATCTGTAATTAGTGTGATATTCTTATTGGACTAGTGTAGCTCACCCCTTCATTAACTATTTTATATCAAGAGGACCAATATCTATATTCTGATCAATGAGGGGGTTGTGAATAATTTACCACTCGGATTCCCTTCAAGAGTTAGTGAAGGTCATCTTAGGATTGCTTAGTTATTTGTCTTTTATTTATTTCTTTGACTTTCATTTATTCTTTTAGAATAGACATTCTCGTAACTCTATTAGGCATTTTAAAGTATTATATAAGGAATGTAAACTCTAACTCTATTACTTTGCTTACGGATTTAATTTATAACTTTATTTTCATTTACGTTTCGGATCTTTATAATAATAAAAAAAAATCATATGAAACAGGAATCAAGAAAGGACTTATCGAAGGAATTTTAGAGTTTTGGCCGTGGCGACTCTACCGGACTTTGTCCACAGTTTCTGGCTCATCCGCCGTCTCTCTTGCTTCGATTGGCCACGAGGGTGCTCGTAATCGAATTCCAAGTGGGTAGGGAAAATTTTTACTTTTTTGGCACCCGACAATGGCTCCGATGCAGCGATGATCGGCAGTCAGCTCCTTCTCCCGCGTTTGGTTCTTTTTCTCCGACGGGGGCTGACGGCTAGGGTTCGGGTTCCCATGTGATGCAAAGTATTTATACCTATCCTACGTTAATCTGAGTCGTCCATCCTAATCGATTTCATCTGTCCGATTGCGCCTAATAAGGAAACAAATATGGACCATTCATCGCAATTGATCTCGACCGTCCAATCGCACCTAAGAGGGAAACGAATCTGGACCATCCATGTGCGTGAGATCAATCCTAGGCCATCTGATTGCGGGACACACAGATTGCCAACGTGGCCTCCCGCGTGGCATCGACATCAGCGTGCCTTGCCACGCGGCGTGCTCTAGTTCATCAAGGCTGCCGATTGGGTAGTCTTACGTGACTAAACTTTCTCTTTTTGTATTTTGACTCCTATTTTTAATTTTTCTTTTAAAAATACTCTTCGAACTCAAATTTTTGCCTATTTTTTTAAATTATTTTTTAAAACATTCCTAATTTATTTTTTCTTAAAATTTTAATTAAACAAAAATAAACTAAATTAAATAATTTTTTAATAAAATAATTTAATAAAAAAAAATATCTCGAACAATTTTTCAGGCCCAAGTGTTATACTGACTTTTGAAAATTATTTTCAAATACACCCAAAATATATATTTCTTCAAAATTTCTATAAAAAATTAAAAATTAAATTTTTAAAAAATTATTTATTAATATAATTTATTTTTCTCGAGCCTAAATCTCGGGCTTAGATTTTACAATTAAAATTGATGTGTTGATGATAAAAAAAATATTAATGAGATCCATCATATATCAATTATATTTAAATGTAAATAAATAAAAAGATACATCGTACATTATACATCAGTAACAAACTTTAGTTCTGTACATTCACGGACAAACTTTATATTTTTAATGAGATTTATTTTCTTTTGTCTTTATTTTTAAATTGAGTGATAAAATCTTAACTGCTAAAACTACTATATTGAAGGAGAAAAAATTAATGAGATCCATCATATTTAGATTCCATTTAAATATTAAAAAAATAAATAAAGATAAAGATAGATCGTACGTTACACATCAGCAACAAATTTTGGTTTCGTAATCATTCGTACATTATTAACAAACTTTAGTTCCGTACATAACTGACAAACTTTATATTTTCAATGAAATTCGTTTTCCTAAATCTTTATATTTAAATTGAGCGGTATAATTTTAACTGTTAAAACTGTCATGTTGATGATAAAAAAAATATTAATAAGATCCATCATACATCGATCCCAAAAAGACGAATAAAGAAAGATAAAGATATATTGTAAATCACTAATAAACTTTAATTTCGTTGTTATTCATACTAATTTAAGATTAATATTTAAAATTTAACTATTGTGTATAGCAACATTTAACAATACATTGTACATCACTAATAAACTCTAATTATGTTACTATTCGTATTAATTTAAGATAAATATTTAAAATTTAACTATTGTATAGAATAATATTTAAAAATACATCGTTCATCACTAATAAATTTTAATTTCGTTGTTATTCGTACTAGTTTAAGATGAATATTTAAATTTCAACTATTGTGTGAAATAATATTTAAATATACATTGTACATCACTAATAAACTATAATTTTATTGTTATTCGTACTCATTTAAGATGAATATTTAAATTTTAACTATTGTATAAAACAATATTTAAAGATACATCGTATATTATTAATAAACTTTAATTTTGTTGTTATTTGTACTAATTTAAGATGAAAATTTAAATTTTAACTATTGTATAGAATTATATATACATTCCACGTCACTAATAAACTTTAATTTTATTGTTATTCATACTAATTTAAGATGAATATTTAAATTTTAACTATTGTGTAGAGTAATATTTAAAGATACATCTCACATCACTAATAAACTTTAATTCTATTATTATTTGTACCAATTTAAGATGAATATTTAAATTTTAACTATCGTGTAGAGCAATATTTAAATATACATCCCACATTACTGATAAACTTTAATTCTATTATTATTTGTACAAATTTAAGATGAATATTTAAATTTTAACTATCGTGTAGAGCAATATTTAAATATACATCTCACATTACTGATAAACTTTAATTTTATTATTATTCGTACTAATTTAATACGAGTATTTAAATTTTAACTATTGTGTAGAGCAATATTTAAAAATACATTGTACATCACTGATAAACTTTAATTCTATTATTATTTGTACAAATTTAAGATGAATATTTAAATTTTAACTATTGTATAGAGCCATATTTAAAGATACATTGTACATCACTGATAAACTTTAATTCAATTTTAACTATTGTGTAGAGTAATATTTAAAGATACATCCCACATCACTAATAAACTTTAATTTTATTGTTATTCGTACTAATTTAAGATGAGTATTTAAATTTTAACTATTGTGTACAGCAATATTTAAAAATACATTGTACATCACTGATAAACTTTAATTCCGTTGTTATTCGTACTAATTTAAGATAAATATTTTAATTTTAACTATTTTGTAGAATATTATTTAAAGATACATTGTACATCACTGGTAAATTTTAATTCCGTTGTTATTCGTACTAATTTAATATGAATATTTAAAATTTAACTATTATGTAGAATAATATTTAAAAATATATTATACATCGCTGATAAACTTTAATTTTATTATTATTCGTACTTAATTTACGATGAATGTTTAAATTTTAAATATTGTGTAGAACAAAATTAGTATATGTTGGGATGTGCCAAAAGAATAAATAAAAGATTTCAGCTATTAATTAATTAATTTCTTATAATATATGAACAAATTATTAGATACTCGGGTATTCGGGTCGGGTATGGTGTAAAATCATGATTCGGACATTGAGGTTACACGTGCAGAGAGTCAAATATCCAGTCAAAAACTTAAAACCGGCATCAAATCACGTAAAGACGTTTCGTAAAAGCATAGAAAAAGCCAAATTAGCATCATTAATCTTTGTCTTACCCAAGGAATAATAATCACGATAAGCATGTGAAGGACTGAGCGGAACAAGAAGCGCAGCGAGCTGAGAAGGAAGGCGAGGAGCACAGCTAAGCCAACTCTATAAAAGGACCAACCTTTTAATTTCATGTTTATCCAACTCAAAAACAGTGAATCTGGGATTTGGTGATTTTTCCTTTACAATCCCCTTTTGCCGCACTTTTAGTAAGTTCATTATCCTTTTCCTTAATTTCATTGATTTTTTTACCCAATAGCTTTCGCTACCCATTTTTGAAAAATCTTTTTTTTTTTTTTAATTTTCAAGTATTTAAGTTGAATATAATTGGGTCTGTGGAGAGTCAGAGATCTGTCACTTTCGTATATCATTTTCGAGTCATTTTGCTTGGTAGTGCAGGCCTGAGTTGATCATGGACGTTGTCAGTCAATTGCGGAGACAGTTCGTTGATTATGTTACTTCTCTCTATCGTGAGGTCTGTATCTGGTTTTCTTTGTATTCGTAATCTTCTGGTTTGGATTTTGCAAATAAGAGTTTGATTTGCGTAATCCGTAGATGGGTTTTTCTTTTTTTGTTGGTGGGTAAGAATTTTCCCGGGAAAGTAATATTTTTTATGAGAATCAAATGGAGAAGATAATGATATCCTGTCTTAGGTTTTTTTTTTTTTTTGTTTGTGCTATTAATTTGTGGGTCTATTCCGGATTTATGAGTTGATTGGTTGTTTTATTTTGAGTAGGGATTGGTAGATGATCAGTTTACCCAGCTTCAGAAACTGCAAGATGAAAATAGCCCTGATTTTGTGATTGAGGTCATCTCTCTCTTCTTTGATGACTCTGAGAAGCTTATCAAAAGCATGGCCAGAGCTCTGTAAGCACTTACGTTCAAAGTTATAGTTAATTCCTTTGCGTGTATGTGTGTAATTTATATATATGTACTATATACTTTCTTGAAGTGGATAATAGGATTTTTTTTTTTTTTTTTTTTTTCTCAGGGAAAAGCCACATGCCGTGGATTTCAAAGAAATAGACTCCAATGTTCATCAACTGAAGGGTAGTAGTTCCAGGTACTTATTGCATTTTTCAAGTGATTAACTAGTGGGATTAGTTTTTACGATGGAGATTTTCGAAATGAATGGTGTTAGTGGAACAACTATGAATGAAGAAGACTAGATTCCAATATATGAATGTTGCTATAGTTTTACAGCAAAAGTAGTTAGAAAACCCTAATTTGATGCCTTTTTTATTTTGCAATTTGTTTATTTGGTCAATTGTACTTTGATTGTTTGCATGGAAAATTGCTCTATGGTTAACAGTGTTGGTGCTGTGAGGATTAAGAATATCTGCGTCGACTTCAGGGCTTGTTGCGAGGCCCAGAACCGCGAAGGGTGAGTCAAATTCAAATCAATGACATGTTTCTTCCTCTTTTCTCATTTATTTTGTCTTATCATGTCATGTAAGATTTCTCTTTGGTTGTTAGTAAAAACTTGATGACTAACGCTTCTGAATTCTGAAAAGCCTCCATGGCTACCACGACTTATCAGAAAACTGTTGAGCAGGGGCGAAAGAGAAGATGTGACTGTTCGTCTCAATTGTTCTAATTCTTATATTGCATGCATGTGAAAATTTATTTGTTTATAAATTACTATATAATTGTTGAAGATGGAAAGTTCGATCTTGTACGAAAGAAGACGTTTCAATCTGTTAAGATGATCGATTGGCTTTATTTAATCAGGATCTAAAAGATCCTGATTTTGCGTTGTTTTATGTCTCTGCGTGTCACGCGCCTATTGGTTAAATTGGTCGTTGACCTTTAGTTGGATAAAATGAGAAAATTTTCCAATAAATATCGGAGTTAAGGCAACTATTAAGGGTCATCTTTTCTCCGAGTCTCCATTGCTTTTCTCAATTCTCATCTTTTTATGTGTTTAATAAAGAGACAATGTGTTACATATGTACCTTTGCTGACGTGAACTATAGAGACTCCTTTTATAATAGAAATTCCGATTTTTAACCTAACCACAGTGATTGCTAGCAGTGACAGTAACGGTTTCTCTCACGAACTGTTTAATTTTTGGTCCAGGTGTTTGAGATGCCTGCAACAAGTCAAGCATGAGTACGCTGTACTGAAGAGCAAGCTTCAAGCTTTATTCAGGGTAAGTGGAGTAGAACTGTAGGGGAAAGAAGTTGATGCCTTTCCCAGATTCTTGCTTTCATCTTTGGTTAAGATCTTCATTGTCCACCACGTGTTTTTAATTAGGGGAAAGAAAAAGTTTATGTCACCTACACTACAATGTCGGTCTTTAAGCTTTTATGTCTTAGCCGCATTTTACTTGCTTCCTGTTTATTATGCTTTCGGAATAAAGTGTTCAAAGTTCCCTTTCCATTTACCTCCTTTTCTTTCTTTCATTGGTCACTTATCCTCCTTTTTTAATGAACCAGATTTTTGTGAACCACCATGGTCAATCTCTATTTTTTTTAATAAAATTAGTCAAGATTAATCTATCAGTTTGCTGCCTCTAAAAAGGCTTCTGATTTTATTTCTTCTTGTTTGGTCTTTACAGCTGGAACAACAGATCATTGCAGCAGGGGGATCGATTCCTTTGGTGGAGTAGATGGTATTAGTATCGTTGTTGCTTTTATGTTAGCAAACAAGGAACAGTTGATGTTACAGATACCCTTTTTCTTAGTTTTGTAATTTCTGTCCAGGCCGCTTGGAAATACTAGCAGTTTTTCCTAGATTTATGTATAAAGCCTGTGAAAAGGGAGAGTGATTATGTGAATAATCATTTCTAACTCTCGCGCTGCAGTTTGCTGAACGTGTTATAATTTTCTTTTAAGTTTGAGTCGTCAAATTTTCTTAAGTAATCCAATCTGAATGCTCCATTCTCCTATAAATCTTTAGTTGTTTGTTTTGAGTAACTTCTGATTTGTGAGTATCTGGTTATTTAAGTTTATCAAAGTTTTCTGATATATCTTGGCTTTGTGATTATCTACCATAGGAGACTTGCATGATTCTCTTGCAGGTGCATTTGCATCCTCTATCTGTTTTTTGTGTTATAATGAGATCCATGTGAAATTGGAAACTTTTAAGCTTTGCATGAATAGAATATGATAATACAGTTTCCTATTAAGGTTGTGTCACGAACTTCATTCGTAACCCTGATCAGCAAAGAGAGAGAAGATAACAGAGAAAGAGAGAGAGATTGGTGTTTTTAGGTAATATATTATCTGATGCTTTTATTCATAGAACTCTTGCCATTTATAGGCTACATAAGAGGGGAAGTGGAAGTATATGACCTCCGTGCCTGGAGGTTGCAACAGCCCGACCGATAACTAGATAGGTTAAGGGTCCCGATCACTCAACTTTTTCTGTTAAAACCCTAACCCTATTGCGGTTGTTACCCTGGAAAAATACCCTTTTGCCCCTATACAGTATTTTCTTTTTTTTTACCCTCTAAGTGGTTTCCTTACAGACTGGGTTACTAGAGTATGGATCAGTAGTTTCCGAGAGCCATGAGGGACGAGTGGCTGGAGTTTGTATAGTGTGGTCCGGTGTTTGGAATTGTCTAGGCATGAATTAAATTGTTTTCTAGTGCCCCAAACAGTATACAGAATGTTGAATTGTTGTCAGATTGGAAACTTAAGGTTACAGAAAACTTTAGTTTGTTTTTTTATTGCCTGGCTATCCAGATAATTGATATTAGCTTGAGACTGGTGCCTGCTCCAATTATTCCCTTTCCAATGATTTGGACTTCTGTTTTCATGTTGCATTTCCTTCAAGCAACATATAGGTTTTTTTATGATTATTAGAAGGATATGATTTAGATTTGATTTAGTTAGAGTGAAAAATATCCTTTTTCGGTAACCCTGTAATGTCGTAACCAAGTTTCATAATAAACTAGGATCGAAGGTAGGGTACCGAAGGCTTGAATAGCACCCGGATATCGTTCAAACCAAACCGAGTGAAATCAGAAGCTGTTAGAAGTTTAGTAGATTGAAGACTTTACGAATTTAGCGTTATAATACCTTTCATTTTTACAAAGGGTGTCACACGTTGTTGTCAGGATCGAGTTTAGAATCGTATATAAGATAGCGGAAAAATGTAGTTGCCATTAAGGTGTAAAGCCAAACATATCCTCGAGTTGAGACAGAAGGAAAC